CTATTGCAACTTCGTGTTTATTCTAGTTTCTCAGGGCCACTTTCCCTTCTTTTTTTTCTTCAAAACTGGTTTTTACCTCACTATATCTTTCAAAATGTAAACAGCAAATTAATCTAGCCCACACAAATATGTTCCTCTAAATATTATCCTTTAGGCATATTCATACAGTTTCAGTTTTCAAAAAGAAACATTATTTTAGAAGTAAAATTAATGATAAGTATATAAAATGTTTACTGTTTAGGGTGCCTTAGGAGTTGTATTTCATTTAGAGTGGTGGTGATTCATGGCTTCTCTTCAATTCCACTGTATCTACACATGCCTTTGGGGTGGCTTGCATTGCCCACAACGCTGTGTCATTTGTTACTTTTTGATTTTCATGACTGACACCTTCCTTTTGGCATGTTTCCTTCTGCTGGGCTATAAAAAAAAAGAAAGGAATGTGCAGATGTGGGAAAAAGAGAAGCATGGAAATACCTGAAACTAATAATAATAGTAATAAAAGAACAGAAAGCAGGTTTACTTTTACTGGGATGCAAAGAAAAAAAATCTGTGGTAGCCATGTCGGCATTGAGCAGAAAATTATGGTACGTGTAATACCATCTTTCAGTTAAAGGATGATCAGTTACAGATATCATCTAGGAACCAGCAACCTGGTTTCAGCCAGTCGTAGGCAGGTACTGACGTCAGTTGTTGTTTTCTCTCATAAATTCAGCAGAGATGCATAAAGTAATTCATCATTTATAAAAAAAAAATAGCGGATGCGTCAGTAAAAATTACTTTTTATCATTGTGCTAGAAGAATCAGTAAAATGAGGGCTCAAGAATTTAAAGTCCATGAAAAAGAAACATGTTTACAAAGTGAACAATTAAATTTCTCACTGCCAAACTATACTTCTGTATTCAAAATCTGGGTAGGGCTAGATGTGTACATGCACACATACACACACCGTGCTCCCCCATAAGTCCCTGTTAGTAACTTGTAAAAGATGAGAGGGGTTTTTTTGTTGTTTATTTGTTGGTTTGGTTGTGGGGTTTTTTTTACCTATGAGGAAAAATTCATGTTTTCAGGCTTATGGCCTGCATTAAGGTCTGCAGAAATGTAAAAGGTACTGGTGGGGGTGGAGCGGGGGGAGGGCAGGGGAGGGAAATGTCCCTGGTTGGGATCTGGTACTTGTTTTTTAGAGTCTTGTGCGTCTGTCTGTAAAGCATCGAGTAATAGATGCTGGCTGTGAAAGCAAAGGGACTGGTCTCCATGCTTAGGGAAGCTCCTTAGCTCCTGTTTCTTTAGTTGTGCACTAATATGTGATGGCTGTAGCCTTAGAGGGAAAGAAAAAAAGGAGTAAAAGATGAAATGCAAAAATATGAAATTCTCACTGAAAAACCTGGTGAGAATATCCAAGGATGTAAACTCTTTGACTGAATGTTCCCCTTCTTATTGAGGTTCCATTGTTACTACTGTCATCAATAATAAAAAATTCAATCATATTTCACCTGGGTTCAGATGCTTCTTCATGCGTGGATTTTTGTGGTAATAGTGAGAAACTTCAATGTTGGCAGTGAAATTTCAGACTAAATTACTATAGTCTTAGAAAGGGGCAACTAACTGTTTAATACTAATTTGTGACTAAAAGGTTCTCAGGAAGTTTTTGAATAAATGAGGATACCTTTTAAATGGTGGAACACAGGAAGATCACAGACAAAATTTAACTTTCTTTGCCAGTGTGGGAGAAATACAGTTAAACTTGGCCATTTTATCCTATCTTTTAAGGTAGCACGTTATTTGGTAATGTTAGGCAATGAAGTGATCATAAGGCAATTCTGTTTCTTTTGGGGACAGTAGGAAAAAAAAAGAACAGTTTTCCAAGGTAGTGGTGTTCTGAGTTTACTTGGTAGCTAAAGAGTGCCCCATTTAGTTTCTTTTTTCCTCTTTTTAGTATCAAACTGAAAATACTGCATGAAAGTCACTGTAAGTGTTCTCTTTAAAATATCAAAAAACAGGAAGTTATTGCTAGTTATTACTAAAATTAATTCCTCAGGGGGACTTTCATGTTAGGACAAAAGAGCAAAATAAAGACTATTTATACAGAAAGGAGCATACTTTGCCAATAACTCTGAGTTTCCCATGCAATTGTTTAAGGCAAGTAATGGACAAAGAACCTTTTCTTGGTGACCCTGACTGATCTGGATGGTGTGGGACCAGGTGCCGAAAACCTGCATTACAGTGCGTGCAGGGCAAACCGCAGCGAGGCTGAGCAGACGGCTTGCTTTTTGGTGCATGTAACATTTGAGCATGTCACTCCAAACCTTAGGTGTTTGCGTGGATTTTCTTCGGAATGGCCTTCATATGTTAAGAGTAGTCTTCCAGTCTGAGTAATTGGTTTAGCTTTATATAAGACAGGCTCTAACCAGCATTTAACCTGAGACTTTTTATTTTTTTTTCGGGTAATACAGCTTAGGGCACTAATTTAATGTAGTACAGCTTGTACTGGGATGTGTACATAAACACCTTTGCGCTGGCTTTTGTCACAGCTATTTCAGGTAGCTGGGTAGCTGCAGCAACCTGGAAATCAGCATTGGCTGCAAAACCTCCTGATCGGTGAGGTCTGCAGCCGTGTAGAGCGATGGTGGCCCTTCTTCTGGAGGTGGGGCTGTGGCCATTGCTTCCTCGCAGGTGCTGTAGCTGCCTTTAAACCATCACCCAGTGAATACCACTCCTCGGAGGCTCTGCAGGCAGTGCACTGGGTGTCTGCTGCCCACAGAGGTGGGAGCCATAGCCCCTGGCCTGCCGTTGCCCACCTCCAACTAGGAAGCCCTCAACTTAGGCCTGTGACCCAGCCAGGCTGAGAGCTCTGCTTTCTGCCAGATTTACTACCGTGCCCTATCTTCTGCAAAAGCAACCCATCAAAGCTGTTTTCTGACTGAAAACCAAGGAAGATTTTCTCCGCTGATCAGAGTGGCTTTCACTTTCCCACCTTTTACAGTGATTATGCTTCCCTTAGTTTTGCTCCTCCTCAGCCTGAGATAGGCACCACAGTGCCTCTTACTAATGCACAAGTTTTTAGTGATTTTAGGCACCTTTATGATGTCTGCAAGTCATTGCTCTAACTCCAGTTTAGCACTTGCTAATTTTGCAATGACGGTAGTCTCCAGAATGGCAATTAGTGAACAAAAGAGGGTTGCGCAGTGTGACCATGCAACCAGGCTTCCCTTAAACTTGTTTGTCTCCCCACATACCCCCACCTCTCCACGCTATTTTCAGCTACACATCAGTTTGCAGGCAATGGAAGTGTAAATTGCTTTAGGTAGACACTACTGATGAGTCTCTATTTGCTGCTGATTCTTAGCTTTTTTCCTTCTGAGAATTCACTGATCACACTGTTTTAGTTCAGAAATACCCACAGGATTGCTAAAATCACAGCATATAGTACTATCATATCTGTCTTTTCTGTGATCCTTGAATCTCTTCAGACTTCACAGTATATGGACGACATGTATGTGAAGGTCTTCTGTTCTTATATTCTCCTGTTGCTTGCGTTAGTATCACTTAAAAGATGAAAACAAAAGCATTTGTGTTTTCAAAGACAGGAAGGCATATTGCAAGGTGAAGTCTCTTCCTCACTGTCTATGTCACACTCGCTGTTCTGCCATGTAAAATCTAAGTAGGTGCCACAAACGCTTTTAAATTAAGCTGTAATTTCTTCATTGATCAGTATGCATGTATTCGTTGAACTTTTTTCTTTGTCTTGTGCTATTACTATATTAATGCTAATTAATAGTAATGCTGCCACAAAATAGAGCGTTTCTAAGGTCAGATAGTCAAGAATCCAAAGAGAGGAAAGGTTTGGGAAACTTGGGAAGGTATTTGCTCTTTTTTGTATTAAGTGCTTTCTTATGCCTATAAACAAGGGAAGAGGCAGCAACATCATTTATGTTAAGCTGTACTTTGCTGGAAATACTTGTTTCTTGAAAAACCTGCTGTGTATGTTGATATCATAGCACCAGTTTCAGCTTGAAGAAAAAGGTTGGAGAAAACTGAGAGAGAACTAATAATATCACAGGATAAATATGTTTGAAAATTCATACAACCTGACTCATTCCAAAAACCAAAACTCTTTTTGTATAGCAGTGTTTGGTTTTGTGAGTCTTAAGGATAATATTCTCCTTGAGACTCTCCTTGTCCAGTTGGACATCGCTGTCAAAGGGGGAGGAAGCAACCCCATCCTTATCACTGGTGCAGGCTTTAAAGTGACAGAGTGAGCCAGCTATTGCCCACCATTGTTGTCAGGTCTGTAAATTACGTGCCATTCCCTCCAATTCTGAACAGGGATATCTACTGAACTAGGTTTAACTTAATGTTATTTTTAGAACAAATTACACTGATTGCATACTATTTCAAAGGCCTCAAGTAATAAAGTACACAATTAAATCATAGAATCATAGAATGTTTTGGGTTAGAAGGGACCCCTAGAGGTCATCTCGTCCAACCCCCCTGCAGGAGCAGGGACACCGCTAACTAGATCAGGTTGCTCAGAGCCCCGTCCAACCTGGTCTTGAATGTTTCCAGGGATGGGGCCTCCACTACCTCTCTGGGCAACATTAAACTTAATAATGTCATATATCAAGTACCAAGGGACAACCTGTCCATTAACCTTGTCGATGATTTTTCCCCATCCAGAACAGTGTTTGTTAGATGTGTGCGAAGGTCTTTATGAAACGGAAATTCCAGATCAGATACATGAAAAATTGAATTGTCTCTGTCAATCATATAAACTTCATTCTTGCCATCAGTCAGCATCATGTACCAAGTGCCGTCTGCTTTCCAGCTAACTTTGTATGGCTTCTGCTCCAAAAATTTAATATTTTGCTTGTCCATGGAAACAGGCCGTGCTCCAGGGAATCCAGACCCTTCCCATCCACGGAACTGCTGTAAATGTAACTGTCTGACTACTTTCATTCCTCTGTGTGGTTTTAGGTATAAAAACGTAACTATTTGTTTTCCAGACTCTTCTGGCAAAGATTTCGGTCCTACTCTGGGATTGAAGAAGTCCAGTTCTCTTGAGAGTCTTCAGACTGCTGTGGCTGAAGTTAGGAAGAACGAACTCCCTTTTCACAGGCCCAGGCCTCATGTGGTCCGTGGTCGGGGGTGTAATGAGAGTTTCCGAGCTGCCATTGACAAGTCTTACGATGGACCTGAAGATGGAGAAGAAGGTATGTTGCTAATGGCACTTACTGAGGGAGCCACCTTCACTTAGCACTGCTGAGGGCCAACTCAATAAAGCACATAAGCAAGTGATTTCGTCCAATTGTGGTTCATCACATTTTAAAAGCTGCTTGTGTCTTCCACTGAATAGAGGTGTCTTTGCAGTACCCCATCCAACCTTGACTGGGTTTAGTGTAAAGTGTTTCACAGATCTCTGTTGGGGTGGGGGTGGGTTGGAGGATTTAGAACTCAATCCTTAAATAATTATATTTTTCAACTTCAAGAAGCAGCTGCCTTCTTCAGATTACATTAAAAATTATCTTGCTTGTTTTACAGAGCTGTCTACAATTCCCCCTTCTCCAACCAGGAAATTTGTTTCCTGTTATAGACAAGGCAGAGTGTATTGATAGCACCCTGCTGCTCATTCTGTCACCATGGGCTTATAGACCCCAGTCTGGAAATATGTCTCCTTTAGCATGAAGCATAAAGCTGTGCTTGGATCCTGAGCCCCCCAAATAGAAACAACACAGCTCTTCTCCAAACAGACAGAACGCTTTCTGTATTTCTTGTTCAGCCATGAAAATAGAAAGATTTCACGGGAGTGAATGAAATAGTTTTGTTACGTAGGTTGGTTATGTCAGTCACCAGAATCCCGTGTTGAAGTAAGCTCTCAGTGTTTGCATCCCAGCGTGCCAGTTTTCTTGAGCTGATGGAGGTTAACAAGCTAGATTTCAAATAGAATGTTGTTTTGCATGTCAGGATTTTTGTATCAGGAATAATAACTAGAAAACAAGTTACTAGAATAACTCTGTATTTAATTTACAATAGAAATCTGATTGAATTCGCTAGATATGTTTAGTCTGCTTTTTAAATTACTCAATTAAATGAGTAAGCGTTGTGAGTCATTTGAGCGCTTTGTGGATGTTCATGCTGTATTTCATGTATTTGCATTTTGGTGACCCCTAGCCATCCCCACTGCTTCTTTTTCATTCTGTGCAGATGGTTTCTCTGATAAGAGCTCTCACTCTGGTCAAGAAGCTCAGAACATGGAATCTGCCCCTCCAGGGAACCCTGAAATAGAAGATGCAGAAACCAAAGCAAAAAAAGACAAAAAAAATAGAGAGAAAGAGAAGAAAAAGGAAAAGGGCAAATCTAAAATCAAAGAGAAGAAAAGGAAGGAAGAAAATGAAGATCCAGAAAAGAAAAAGAAGAAAGGCTTTGGTGTCATGTTGAGGTATGCCATTTTAAACAGCAAAACAGCCACCCATTCTCATTATAATGTAGGGAACAACTGATACTCTCATAAAATAGTGGAAAAATTATTTCACTTGGACTGAAAATAATGTTTATGTTATTTAAAAAGAAAGCAGTTTATACTTTTACACCAAACTTGTAGCTGAGGCAGAAGACGTTTGGCAGACAAAATGTCGTTTTGTGCCTTTGAAATTCATTCCCATATGTCAGAAAAGATTCAAGGTTTCAGGCTAAAAACAAGCGTGTGTCAGTGGGGGAGGTTTTGTGGGGAATATTTCTGAGTAATACATGACCCACTCCCACGCTCAGACCCTTGCCTTCTCTTCCCTTGCTTATCTGCTTCCTTTACAAGCTTTGGGGAGAGCAGGATTGCTCGTGTTACTGTAAACAGTCTAGTAACATTTGCAGTTGCTGAAAGCCACTAGCTGTGATCAAATCTTAGCTTCGCAGCTTCACCCATTCACCTGCCATGGTCAAAAGCTCACCGTCCTCCCTACCCAGCACGCAAGTGTTTGGATTTCTTCTGTGATTATTGATTGGTTTTGCATCTCTGGAATCATCAGATATTAGAGAAAGTTCTTCAGGCCATTTCCTTGCTGTTGCTGGAGCCTTTGGTGCTGTAGGCACTCTGGCTGCGATCACCCCTGCCTCTGGTACCTGTTTATTGAGGATTAAAGTGTTACCATTTAAGTAGATCTTTGCAATAAATATAGGGTATGTGAATGAAATTTAATGATCACCTGGAAGAGATTAGACTGTATGATCATGTGGTTATTTGTGGCACTGAACAATTAACGCTGGCTTTAGGAGGCTACTGGTGTTTCTTAGTGTGCTGTATTGTAGACAAGCCAAATGCATACAAAAGCCACAATCATCACTTAGGCAAAGTTGCATTTAACTAGTTATCTAAGAAATTCAGCTGCAAGATCATTCACTTACAATGATACTCATTAGGGCAGTGGTACACAAACTTGCATTGGAGCTTTCTGTTGGTATGTCCTCTGGAGTCAAATGGCTTGTGTTTATATTGACATGGAAGGTTTAAGCTGACTTTCTTCCATATATCATCAATAGGAATCCTCAATATTGTCCTAACTTTTGAACACTGTAGAGATATTGTCAAAAATATGCAGGCATGCTTATGTGCTGAATTTGCATGATTTCAGCAGTTGTTAGTGTTCGTATGATGAAGGTGCGTGGGTATACCAGTCTGCATTCAAATGGGGCTCTTTAGGAATGCTGAGGAGTCACATACTCACACCTGTGCGTTGCACGTGCATTTGTGTTCATACTGTTTAAAGAAATAGGGCTTAACATGGAACAGTAGTCAAAACACTGAATAATTAGGAGGGTGACTTCAACAACTCTCTTGTGTATCTTAAGCTTTATTTCTATTTTAATTCTTCTTTTTAACTCTTTGGCGTGAATAGGGATGTTGGAAGAGGAGGGGAGTGACACAGAGGTCTGACAAAAGCATAAGTGTTCTGTTTCATGTGTCACTGGCAGATTCGAAGTTTGAAGTGCAAAGTCTTGCTTACGGGGGCGCGATGCCTGAGCCAGAAAGAACATGGGATGACATCAGAATCCAAAACAAGCGATTGTAGCTGGCAATCTGATAGTTTGGCAAAAATCTGATAATGTTCAATATGCAAAGCTGGGAACAATAGGTTACCATTCTTAGTGATTCCTTTTTTCAGAATATATTTCACATTTTGGTTGTACATGAGCTTTATACGTCTGTTCTTTTCATAAACTTGCTTTTTGTTTAGGTTGATAGTCTTCCTAGCAGACAGTAATTTTTAATAGTATTTACTTATCTGTATGGCTGCACAGAATGGGAGTTTCTATCCCACACCAGTGAAAATCTGTACAAAGCCACAAAGATGGAAGCAACAGGTTGTAATGAACAGAGAAGGAGCTGTTTGTAAGAGCTAAGAGTTCAACTGGGAGGTTTTTAGAGGTTCTGTGTCCTCGTCAGTGTTTTTTCCTAGAATTTATAAAATTGTTCTGGAAAAGAAATTCCTTCCTGAGAAGGTGAGGGTCCTAGGGAATCCCAGCCATGATAAAAGTGAAAGAAGGGTGGTGAGCTCTAAAGACTGAACAAGAGCAAAGTGTGTGTTTACAAAAGAATTGGGGACCATATGTCCTGCTCAAGATGAGCAAAACCAGGATGGTATTTTTTCAGGGAGAAACTGTTGTGCATGACAAAAACCCAAAAACAATTAATCTGAATGTTTTTAAAAGAAATAATAGCAAAGTAATGGGGGAACTTAGGGTCAAATACTGACTGAATGCTAGATTCAAGAGGTATTTTTCAAACCGGAGTTTTGCACTGATGTGAGGAGTGAGTGTCAGGGGAGCTAGGGAGGAGGAGGCTGCAGTAAGAAGGTTTGAATGATCAAGTGTTTTAGCAGCATGGATGGAAAGAAACAGCCAGATTTTCTGTGACATTGTGGAGATTAAACTGGCATGATTTATTGGTAGAACATCTGTGGAAGGAAAGAGAGAAGCTCAAGATGACAAAGTTGTGAGCTTCTGCAACAGGCAAGGTGACTAATAATTCTTGGTAGCTTAAGAGAAAGAAGTAGAAAGAAGTATTTAGAAACAGATGAGCTCGGGTTTTGACATGCTGAGTTTAAATTGGAAGGGGAACCTGCTACAGGAGGCATTAGAAATGTGAACACCTAAGGAAATCTGTAGTGTGCCTTTTGTAGGTATGGTGATAGTTGTACTGTGGGAGACCACCAAAATGAGGAACAAGGAATGGAGCCCTTGCTAGACCGACCAGAGAGAAACACCCAAGAGAAAAGAAGTTAAGAAAGCAACTGGCAGGAGCGGGAAGAGGATATATCTGCCTGGGGCTGGGCGATGCCATGCATTTTTTTAAACTAGTCTAGTGACTGCAGCCATGTAACTAGTTGATCTTGACGTTAACTGGAACCCCATACAGATATGTTCATGCTGTTTGCAATTTGTGGGCTGCTATGTTCAGAGCTATTTCAGCTGTGCCTGTGTAGTTCTGCTGTGCTATGTAGATGCATCCAAAGAGGAAAACAGACTTGCTGAACCCATGTCAAGATTGAGTTAAGTAGGAGATGATCATCTGTGATAAAAGCTCCAGGACCAGAAGGACAATGAAAATATTTATGAGATCTCGCCAGAAAGCTCAGTGCTAATGAAGACACATGCACTTTCTGGCAAATGACTAGGTTTTAGGTGTAAAGGACAAAAAAGAAAGCAGAACTTGAGGCTGAAGCAGGTGCTGGAAGTGTCATACTTGTCTACGGTGGGGGGTTTGTGCTATACTTGCTGGGTCACATATACAACTATAACAAGTTTTATCTTGATAATATGTCCATGTGCATTGGCTTGTTTCTGCCTTATAATCAATAACAAAGCATTTAGAGATATTAAAACCCAACCCAAGTATTTATCTGTAGTACAAGAAGCGCTGAGCTTTAGTCTTTTGCATCTGAGATTTTTGAACATATTGGAATTGCTACTGCATTGCTTTTTTACTTTTTTTTTTTTTAATTTAACAACAGAAAATAGCAAAGCTGTTAGCAGTTGCTAACAGATTTCACTTAGTGCCTCATCTGTTGCTCAGCTGCTATTTACTTGTAGTTCCTGGTCTTTTTTTACACATACAAAAAAAAAAAAAAATGATTGCTTTCCTGCTAAGCTTTTCCTGGATTGAAGCTTTATTTAGGTGACTGTGATTCAGGGAGACCATCAAGAAGCCATGCTTTTATTTTTGTAATCACTGTTTTTAAAAAAAGTCCTGTTGTTTTACCCAGTATTAACTGGAACTCTTGGCTGCAGCATTTTAATGACCATGGCATTTGGAGAAAGTAGGTTAATACACTGGAGATTTGAAATGCGGATGACACTTTTTATTACTGACTAGTTAAGTCTCTATAATGCAAAGTAGTATTTTACCGTGGTGCATACTGCACAGTGTTTGTGTTTTCTTGTTTGGTTGGTTCTGATGCATATATTGCCTGCCTGAGTACTGGATGTGCATATGTGCTGTCCACAGAACAACAGAAGTTGACTCTGTTAACTGTTTGCATATAATATCGGCTAAGCAAGCATTATATTGTACTTTTTGATGTTTTCTGGCATATTGCACCATCACAGCTCACTAAATAACCCACTGCTAGACAACAGACGGCAAAGTAAATTGATATTGTGTATCAGGAAAACAGCAACATTAAATACTTCCATTATTGGAGCTGTGACTGAAATGTATGCTGCAGTCTCAGGAAAAAGCTGGTGTCTAGCATCTATGCTGAAACTCTTTGGGAACAGAAGTAAGACTCAGTTCTATACAGATACGTAACAGCGGCAAGATTACGCAATACCACATTCAATTCTTGGTTCATCCTTTTTCTTGCATTGAGCTGACTGATTCTTTCAGGGCACGGTGAGTCTTGAGGAGACTGCTGGACCGTAAATGAGCTTCCCTGTACTTCTTTTTGAAGGTGTTTTGTATTTTCATGAGCAACACTGTAGTGAAACAGCATATTTGTGCCTTTGAATAAAGGTACTGTGTAGTGTCATTGGTTTAGAACTGTCAAAAGCCTTGGTGAGGTGGCTCTGTTGGTTGTTTGGAAGGATTAATTAACCCCTTGGTGTGCAGGGTGTTAGAAATCCCTGATGCTGAGCACTAACGCAAAAAGCATTATCACTTAGCACTGGGAATGCAAAGCTGATCTAACCAAGAGGTTAATTAAAAAAAAAAAACAATTATTCCTCATTTTGCTAGGTGATGAACTCTAGATTTTAAATTTGTGTTCCATAGTTACTTAATTGCCATGCTTTGAAATACTATCAAAATACTCTTTTCTAACAAAGGTAGGCTTTGTGTTGGTTTCTAAATTAAGTTGCAGAAAGACTGAACCTTTAAATCACCAGGGAAATGTGCCCTCTGCTGTGCAGTGCTGCTCTGTATCCTAATCCCATAGCAGTTGTTACAGT